CTGGTAATCACCTAGTAAACCACTGCTGGCTGGCGCAGGAGGGGAGCAGCTTTGGCACAGGGGCTCTCAGCCCAGAACAGCGACCTTTGGGAACCCGGCTGTTCCCTGCAGAGCAGTCCTGAACCCCACTCTGTACCAGCCAGAGTGCCAAAGGCAACATCAAGGCAGGAGGGGCCCTCAAGACAGCTCCAGGAGAGCTGGTGGTGGGTGAGTCCACCCACCACGTGCAAAGCTCACCACCACTCACTTTGGTTCCAGGTCTCAAGTTGGTTCTGATTCACTGGAGCAAATTCAAGGGCCAGGAGGATTTCTATTCTCTGCCTACCTGCTTTCCTTTCCTTTCTTTTTCTTTTTTCTTTTTTTTTTTTTGAGACAGAGTCTCATTTTATCACCCTCAGTAGAGTGCCATGGTGTCACAGCTCACAGCAACCTCCAACTCCTGGGCTTAGGTGATTCTTTTGCCTTAGCCTCCCAAGTAGCTGGGACTACAGGCACCCACCACAACGTCCAGCTATTTTTTGTTGCAGTTTGGCTGGGGCCAGGTTCAAACCTGCCATCCTTGCTATATGGGCCCGGCACGCTGCCCACTGAGCACAGGCACCACCCCAGAGTCTCGCTTTGATGCCCTGAGAAGAGTGCTGTAGCGTCATAGCTCACAGCAACCTCAAACCCGTGGGCTCAAGCGATCCTCTTGCCTCAGCCTCCCAGGTAGCTGGGACTATAGGCGCCTGCCACAATGCTTGTCTGTTTTTTGTTTGTTTTTTTAAGAGACAGGCTGGTCTTGAACTTGTGAGCTCAAGTGATCTGCCCACCTCAGCCTCCCAGAGTGCTAGGATTACAGGCATGAGCCACTGTGCCCAGAATGCTGGCAGTTAAGACTCTCATTGGGAAACCCAAGGCGCGAGGCCACAAGGACCTATGTATGGTGCCTCAAGACAGCTACAGTTCTGGCTGTGGAGACTGACTCAGGAGCTCACAGAGGCCACTGCAGAAAGCACTAGGCTGGGCACTCCCTCCTCCTCTCACCAGCCCTCAACATAAGGCACACGGGGAGATGTAGGAGAACTGGCCTCTGCCTCAGAGTGTCCACGATCAGAGGACGTCAGCAATCTTTTTTTTTCCAGGCCTCTACCTTGACTCACAGAAGCCTTGATTTTCCAGGCTGTTCTGCTGCAGTTCCCACCACCCCAAGAGCAACTGAATGTCTCCAAAGCCTGCTGAACACTGAGGCCTAGCCAGTCCTGCCGAACAGGAGATGGTGGAAGAAGCCCAGGGTGGGTAACGGGCAGGTAACAGGTGAGCTGCTCACCTCTAGACTGCAGTTCGGGCTGGCTGCCGTCTCTTTGTGATACTCCTCTCACACGAAGCTTCAGCCTCCTCTCAGCCACACAGCTTCCACCACCCACAACAGCCCCAAGCACATGCCGGGGTCATGTGAGGACATCCAACACAGGTAAGCCTCAAGGGGCCCCAGCCTGGGTAGTGCCATGGGTTACAGAGCCATGGAATAACAGGAGTACCTGGTGAGGCTATAAACACGGGCCACGGCCCGGACCACTTCCAGCACGCACCTCCAGGCCAGGGCTCTTGTCTACACTCTAGACCAGGCGTCCTCAAACTATGGCCCATAGGCCACATGAAGCCCGCCTAGGACATTTATCTGGCCTACCAGGTGTTTTTGCTGCCACTTTTCCTGTCCTGCTTAGCAGCCAACTCGTCCTGGGGCCCGCAGTCCGGCCCTACAACAGTCTGAGGGACAGTGAACTGGCCCCCTGTTTAAAAAAAGTTTGAGGACCCCTGCTCGAGACCCCTTGGATGTTTCTGACACTGCCATGTCTGGGAGACATCAACACATCCAAAGTGCAGGTCTCTCCAGCCTGCTGCACCCATGGTCACCCCTCACCTCAGGTGATGGCAGCCATGCCTCTGAGGTGCTCCCAGGCCTCCACTCCTCTCTCATCCCTCCAGTCATCTAGGAAATCCTGCTGGCTCTTCTGAAACACACCCAGAGCCTGACCACTTCCTAGACCTCTACAGTCTCGTCTGGGTACAGGCCTTTGCCAACTGCCACCTGGATCAGGACAGTGGCCTTCTGGCTGGTCTCCTGCCCCTGCCTCACACACAGCTACAGGAATCCCCAACCTTCTCCTCATCGCAACTCATTCAAATCCCCGGGTGGGTCAAAACCCTCCCATTTCCTAATCTAAGTAAAAGGCAAAGGGACTTTTGGTGCAGACCCAGAAAGCCTGACCACACTAATCTAATAGGTGAGTGGTCTGTACAAGGCAAATACAGACAGTGGGGGTTAATTTATAACAATCTGATGTTAGGACATCTAAACACTGATACAAAAGGCATCCCTCTGGATGGATCAGGAATTCAAGGAGTGCTCCCAGCCAGCCCACCGCTGCCAGGCTCCTCACTCAGCACCAACCTTGCCAGCATCCATGAAGATGCTCCGACCCCAGGGCCTTGCACAGCTACCCATCTGCCTGGAACATTCTTGACCTGCACACGGCTCACTCTTCCTTCAGTCCTTATTCCATTAGCGCTATCAACCACCCACCTACTCCCGCACACACTCAGCAGGGCTGTTGGGCTCGGCTGCCTCCCAGAGCACTTATCACATGATGCACAATTTACGGACATTATAGTCTCCTTTCCCATCACCACAGAAGCTCCACAAGGGCGGGGCCTCTGTGCTTGTACACAGCACCTGGTGTCACGGAGCTCACTAAGTTTTTGTGATGGAGGGGGTATGGAAGCCCAGAGCTGTGTCCTATGGACAGACATCAGCAGGTCAGAGGTCCCAAACAGCTCTACAGGAACAGGAGGACCCTGAAGACTGGCAGGCAGAGCTGGATGGAGGAGGGTGACTGAGGTCCACCAGGGAAGTCTCTGTCTGCCACATTAGTGGCTCTGGGATGGACCCGCAGGGAACCCTGGCATCTATCAGGGCTTCCTGAGACCATCCTTTTTAACATTATAGGGTGAATCTAACTGGGAGAGGCAGACAGCCGGGAAACCACTCAGAAGGCGGGCACTGGACTGCAGCCATGGAATGAGCTGAAGAACAGAATGCCAGAGCTTTCTAAGGTCAAACTTACAAATGTACGTGGGAGGTTAGAGGGAGAAGGCACAGTGAAGGGGAAGTGAGACACGGCAGAGAAAAAGCAGCTCTCCTGAAACAGCCTCATGATTACCGGGGGTCGGGACAATGGCCAGAGGATGAGAGGCCTTCCCAGCAGCCGACCTCTCCTGCCCCTGTGGGGTCGGGGCTCCTCAGTGTACTGTCCACAAACCTCTCTGGGGAATCACAGCCTGAGTTCCAGCATGCCATCTTCTGAAGGGCCGCTAGCATCGTGACCCCTCTGACCACTGTGTCGAGTGGAAGCACTCCACGCAGACACACAGGTGAAGCACCAAGAAAGAACAGACAAGAAACGTGGCACAGGGTCCCCCTGCCTAACAGCCCCTCTCCAGGGACTGGCGAGTGTACAAATGGAGAGGAAGGGGTGCAAGTCCATGTGACACCTGCTCGCTCAGAACTCACAGAGGGTGTGGGAGGATCCAAGAAGGAGATGCTCACACCAGAGCTGAAGGGGACCAGAATCCACACTGGCTACACACCTTCAACAACACATCAGCGGGGCGGCCAGGCAGTGGGGGCCCAAGCAGAGGAAAGGAAGGCACAGACTCAGGTGGGGGCAGCTCTGGGACCCACCATCACAGTAGTGGAGCAGCCGGCCTGACTTTAATATGCAAATGCCCAAGAGAGTCAGCCTGCCAAACGGAGAGCTGCAGGGCCCGGAGAGAAGGACAACCACTCAGACTCAAACAGACCCGGCAGGAAACAACAGGTCGCTGTGGGGACTGCCCAGACAGCCCCTGATTACCTGGGGGAAGAAGCTGGCATGTAACTCTAGAGTCTTTGGGTGACCCTTCAAAACATGTTTCAACCATTTACACATTCTTTACTGAGCCAAGCTGGTCAGTTAAGCAGCCGCCAGAATCCTACATAAACTGCTAAGAGAAGACAGAGTCATAGGGAAATATCCCAGAGCTAAATATAGTGACCACACAAATACCCAAGTCAAACAAGCTGTAATATTAATGAGCAGGAATGAACAGTAACTGTTCCCAGGACTAAATAAAGGCTGGCTGCCTTATCAGGGAAGCACACAATGGTACATGGGCCCTTCAAGTAAAAGAGGAAAAGAACAGTTTTCTTCTCTGTGGCCAGGCACCCCATGTGGGACCAAAGGTAGATTAGACTGAAGGCATTTTCTTGTAGGCAACAGTGAAAATCTGCTCCCAGTTTACCCTGTACCAGCTGTGGGCTCTGAACAGGATGCATTCTTAATGAGTCAAAAGAAAAGCCCCATTTTCAGTTACCCATTGAATTAAGTATAGTCAAACACCATGACCTAGAATTGATAGTACAGCTAACTCTCTGTTTACCATGGTAATTGGGATTTCAGGATTTCAAGGATAGCAGTTAATTGGGAAGAAAAAAATGCCATTTTATGCTTGGCAAGGCAAATATATTATTGCATTAAAGGTGATGGCTTCCAATGACCACCCATCAAGAATCTTGTGTGTGCCTGGCATTTCAAGGCTTAAATCACACATTTCCAGCTCACCTAACCAAGTGGTCTGACCCACCAGAGAGTGGGCCTGGCAGGCAGCAGAGCCCCCTCCAGTGTGTAAGGGCATGGGGTGCATGGGGACAGCAAGGCCATCATTCCATGCCTCATCCCAACAGCAGCTCCCTGTTAAACCTTCAGAGAATTTCCATAAGTGACGTGTGATTGCTTGAGGGGAGCATGGCCAGGCCACAGCTCCTGGGAGAGAGGAAGAAAGGGCTCCTGGTCCACTGGAGACTGGACCACCCGGCCCAGAGGAAACAGGGAGAGAGTTGGCTGTACTGGCATGGCAAGCACATCCCCAGCAAGCTGCCCAGCATTTCTAGGAAGGAGAAAAGCAAACCGCCGTCCCACCTCGGGCTGCGCGGTCACAAGTGAGGCAGGGCTGGGACCAGTCGCCATTTGGGCGGGAGGCCAGCCCCAGGTGCGGCGGCAGGAAGGGGTGGCGCTGGCTCAGCGGCTGCAGCTCCTCACTCTGACCCAGCGGGGCCCCTGTGCGGTGCTGGGGGCACAGCGAGGCCTCGGGTGCTGTCGGGCAGGGACATACACACATAACACACAAAGAGAGACACGCCATTAGAGGGTACACAGCAGCCCTGTGGGAGGCACAGGCCAAGGCCACATAGGGGCCTCCCTCATCCCGCAGCCTTCTGTGCTCAGAAGCCTTAAAAAGCCCACTGACCACATCTGATCCTGATCATGCAGATCAAGCTCAAGGTCTGAAGGAACCAGAAGCTTCAGAGCTGGGACCATGGCAGCATCACTCATCCTTGTAAGACCTGTGGCTGCAGGCCATAGGCTTGGTGTGAAGATGAGGGGCCTGATCAAACAGCCAGGCTCCTGTACCTCTACCATCCACAGTTGTGTGTGGAATGGGATGCTGTTTCAGGTCCATGCCCCATATCCTCTGGTTTCTTGAGAATGACAACTGTGGAAGGCTCATAAAGAAAAGAGCAGGTCCCCTCGGCTGTGTGTCATAATCACAGCAGTGTGTCACAGCGGAAGCCAAGGAGGGTTAGGACCAACTCACTCCAAGGGGAGCCATTCTGGGGTATGGTAAGTAGGTCCTTGAAAGAATTAAAACAGCTTCACTTCTTAAAAAGCAATCTTTATCTTTTGGTGCAAGGTAACCTTGAAGGAGACTTCTAGAGATTAAGGTTAAATTGTTCTCAAAAGGTTTCACCTGGCCCATGCCAGTAACCCTAGCACTCTGAGAGGCCAAGGGTTCATGAGTTCATGACTTTGAGACCAGCCTGAGCAAAAGTGAGACGCCCCCACCACCGCCCCACCTCCAGTCTCTACTAAAAATAGGAAAACTGAGGCAAGAGAATCACTTGAGTCCAAAGGTTGGAGGTTGCTGTGAGCTATGATGCCAGAGCACTCTACCCAGGAGAAGAACTTGAGACTTTGTCTTTAAAAAAAAAAAAGAAAAAAGAAAAAGGTTTTGGCTCGGTGCCTGTAGCTCAAGCAGCTAAGGCACCAGCCACATACACCAGAGGTGGCGGGTTCAAATCCAGCCTGGGCCCGCCAAACAACAATGACAACTGCAACCAAAAATTAGTCCAGCATTGTGGTGGGCACCTATAATCCCAGCTACTTGAGAGGCTGAGGCAAGAGAATTGCTTAAGCCCAAGAGTTGGAGGTTGCTATGAGCTGTGACGCCATGGCACACTACCCAAGGTGACAGCTTAAGTCTCTGTCTCAAAAAAAAAAAAAAAGTTTCACCAAAGTCACAACCTTGGCTTAAGCAGAGCAGCTCAAACAAAAAAGGGAAATGACACCAACTAGAAATGGGACAAGAGCACGTTCACCTGTTCTAAGCTGGGTAATGATGTAGAATTCCTAGAGGCAGGAAGTCTGCCTTGAATATGCAAATCTCCCATTTGACATTTTTCTCAAAATGCTGGCAGTAGTGGTTAAGTGTCAAACTGAAACCTGCAAAAGCAGGAAACACAGAAGTGGTCTAGTAACAGAACCACTGATTACGCAAGGGGTGACAGGCCATAAACAACTTTAGAAAAAAAGTTAGGTCTGTGATGCTGACATACTATTACTGATTCTAAAAAGAAAAGGCATGAAGATCTGTACTTTTGTTTTTGTACCAGCCAGTGTAATTTCTCCCACCCCCATCCCAATCCCGCCCCCACCCAGGGCACCTGGGTCTCCCATCTGAGTGTGGGGCCCACTGTGCCTGGAACAACACCGTCAGATGGAGAGTCTCCCGGGATCACTTCCAGTGAATGGCTGGAATGCCAATGTAGCTCACAGGGACCAGCCTACATCAGGCCCTGAACTTCACTGCTATTCCCTGAAATCTCTTCTGAACACAGGGCAAAAAATTCAAATCGCTCAATATGCAAAACTGTAACACAGACCAGCCCCACCCACTGTAGACCCAGCCATGCAACCAAATCACCACAACCTCTCATGTTCGTGTTTGAAAGGAGGGCTTGCTCATACTAAAATAACCTGCAGAAGGTTTGGGGTTCTTTGGCATTTTTCCCTCTTTAAATGAGACCTCCAATATGCTGTTAATGTAGAAAAATACACTGAGCCACTCGAGCCCTGCAGCTCAGTCAGTTGAAAAGTATTCAGTAAGAGAGAACGAGCATCTGCTTCTTTCTAGATCCTCATCATCTGCAGAACAATCCCACCAGACCTTCTCTGAGGAGGAAGCGGGGAAAGTCTGCCTCATGACACCTTCTCCTAAGGACGCAGCGAATCATGAGAGCCAGTCCTGCCCAGATGTGCAGAATGAGAGCAGCAATGGACTTCAGAGACCCCCAAGCCAGAGCAAAGAAGGGACCAAAAGTCTCTTTGTAACAAAAACTCAAGGCAGCCCCAGGGTGCTAAAAGCTGAGTACTAAAGACAGAGTCAAGCTCTGTCCTCCCTAAGCCCCAGGGCATCCAACCTGGCTGCCCGCTAGAGCTGAGCGGGTGAAGGGTAGAGAGTGCTTTGATTACTCACAGCCATGGTAGGAGGCCGGAGATCCCCCAGCCTTGCTGTACTCCTGCTCCGAGTAGCTAGTAGAGAGGTTGGGCTGGCTGGAGCCACGCCCAAAAGTGATCTGGTTGCTGCTCATGCCAGTGGCGACCTGGGCCATTCGCTCTTTGGTCTTGAGAGCCTGGGCCCTCTCAGCCTTCAGCCGCTCTTCGTCCTTGAGGAGGGCTACCAGCTGCTTTGACTTCTCCCGCACATTGATGCCCTGGTCCTTGCCGTCGCGGTCGATGTACTGGAAGTCCTTGAGGGTCTGGATGGCAAAGATGTTCTCCCGGCACTGCTGGGCCACGCGCTCGGAGCCCGTCTTGATGAGGTAGTCCAGCAGCGTCAGCGCCTTGTACACGTGCCGCCAGTTCTTGCCGTGGTCATTGAGCCGTTTCCACACCATGCTCATGATCTCTGAGAAGGCCACCACATTGTAGGTCAGGTCAGCAATCTCGGTCATCAGAGAGCTGGATGGGCCCCACGGATCATTGGAGGTGGCTTCCCGGACTTTGATTTCAGCCTCCGAGTAATTGTTGACAATGTTTTTCATCTGTCGTCTAATAGATGAAGTTGTCATTTTTATTTTCTTTGTTACAAACTTAAAGCCCTTCAAAGAGAGAAACCTTCCTGTCCTCCTTAAGTCTGCACCCTATGAAGGTTCAGTTTCTGTAATCGATCTGGAGCAAAATCCCTGAACACTCATTTCCTCCTCTGGAGCCTTAGATCTGAGAAGCTGGAAGCCATGACCTAGAGAAAGAAAGAACACCCACTCCACTGTGATGGCACCTCGACACTCCGCAGAGAGAGGGCGCCGGGGGAAACTGAGGGCTCTGAGCAGGCACCCCCAGCTCCCTCGGGATGCAACTAACATAGGATCAGTATCACCCTTTAACAAGGAATAAAATTTAAACTCATGTTTTAGCCTTCAGAAGAAAAGAAGTAAATACTATGGCTATTACTCTATTTTCAGAACGTGTCCCCTGGAAAGGCTATTTTGCAGGCTGTATTCTCACTGGCAGGAGCCAGCTAGGAGAAGCTGATACTGGCGATTTAAACTGTACGTAGAGGCAGAAAGCGTCTTGTGTCAGGTCCGTCTAACCCCCCAAATGCCTGTCTGTACCTCTGTCCAACATTTGGCTTGGTCTGTGCTTCTGACTGCCCAGGAAATTCTTGAAAATCACTTTTCCCCTGACCTGCCCTGCTCAAGAATTTATAAAAGTTCTTGCTTGTTCCGTCTGCTTGGTTTTGTAAACTAAAATTAAAATCCTAAGCTCCCCTGCCTACTGAACAAACGTTCCCTCCAAGGGGACCCCAGAAAAACCTTAAAACTGAGGTCCCAGCCAGGAAGGGAAGGGAGGTCCTATCTCTTTTTCTTTTTTTTTTTT